TGCCGATCTGAGGTCTTCAGCTCCTGCTTCTGCGTGGTTTTCCCTTGCCTCTGATCTGCTCTCCAGAGACACCACCACCTCACCACGGAAGCACCAGCCCACAGCTCATCTCTCTGCTCTAGTAGAGGTTGCTTAGGGCTTGCAGCCAATCCCCGCTGCGCTGTCATCTCAAGATCTTAATTCCACGATGCAGATCTTCAAACCCAAGTCTGCCCTGCTCTCGTTTTTGTATTGCACAATATTGAAAGCTTGCTTTCTCTGCTAGTAGAGCTGTTTCTGCCCTGAAGGTTCGACCCTGTTCAGGGCCCCAGGGCCTATGGTATCCAAAACGCCCAGAGACACAGCAGAGGGAGCTGATCCTTGGGGTTCTAATAGGGAGTTTGTGGTGAGTTCTCAGCATGTGAAGTTGTAAATTCAAATTTATGAAGGTCAAATGGCAAAAATAAAGGTCTGAACCAGTTCTGGCCACTTTCTTCCCATTATTTTCCCCAGATACCACAGTTTGGGGCTATACTTTTATTGAAGTTGAGGCTTTCATGGAAGAGATAGAGACTTGAATTGCCTTATTTTAAGGGAAACAATAGCTGTTAACTGAAAAAGTCTGAGACTGTTTTTCTTTAAAACTGGAAGCTAGGGGGTTGGTGGGGAGGAGGGACGAAGAAGAGAAGGGTGAGGATTGGGAGGGGTGAGAAGAAGGGAGGGAGAAAACCACAACCAAGGGAACTTCTGCTCTTGGGCTGGAGCATGGGGTGAAACTCCTCCTTGGAGACAAACCCAGAAATGTCTGTTAATATATCCCCACTCATTCCCATAAAACTTGCTTTGATTCAAGCTCTGGTTGTGTCTTACCTGGGATATTACAAGACTCTCAACTCCCCCAGTCCCAGCTTGGAGCCAGGGTTCTTATTGCTACAAGTTAGAGAATCCTTGAAACCTCCCTGCTCTTTTTTTTCTGAGACAGGATCTTGCTCTGTTACTGCATGCAGGAGTACAGTGGTGCAGCCTGGACCTCCTGGGCTCAAGTGATCCTCCTGCCTCAGCCTCCCAAGTAGCTGGGACTATAGGTGTGTACTACCGTGCACGGCTAATTTTTTATTTTATTTTATTTTATTTTAGTAGAGATGAGGTCTCACTATGTTGCCCAGGCTGGTCTTGATCACTCAAGTGATCCTTCTGCCTTGGCCTCCCAAAGTGTTGGGATTACAAGTGTGAGACATTGTATCCAGTTGGAAGTTAGAGAACCTTTTAAGACACAGATCTGATCATTCACAAGTCATTTCCTCAGATAGTAATTGCATACCTTCTAAGGATGAGCCAGACATTGCTAAGTGTAGAACTCTAAACCTCAATAAGGCATAGTTCCGTTCCTACTCAGCTTATTACCTACAGCAGTGTTTCTCAAGCTGGGTAGCATGCATTCTAATGGATCTCTGATTTTATGTATTTACATAGATGGGTTTCCTTTAAAAATGGGTCCATGCATTATTCAAGTTTGAAATACCTTGTTCAACAGAAAAAGTTTAAGACCTATAATTCTAAAGACCTGTCCGAGATCCTTTCTTTGGCACTACTTTGACATACCTTCTTTTCAGCCATACTCTGCATACCCAATTCTTTGCCATACATAGGCCTATAATCGTTCCAATTCCTTTACCTTAAACACTCTTCTACTTTCTGCTTTTTTTCCTCATCATCACTGTTGCTTCTCTACTGGTGAGCTCCTACTCATCCTTCAAGATTCAGCTAAAATGGTTTCTTTCCTTTATTTTTATTTTTTGAGACAGAATCTTGCCCTGTCACACAGGCTGGAGTGCAGTGGCGCAATCTCAGCTCACTGCAACCTCCAGCTCCTGGGTTCAAGCGATTCTTGTGTCTCAGCCTCCCGAGTAGCTGGGACTTCAGGCATGAACCATCATGCTCAGCTAATTTTTGTATTTTTAGTAGAGATGGGTTTTCACCATGTTGGCCAGGCTGGTCTCGAACTCCTGGCCTCAAGTAGTCTCCCCACCTTGGCCTCCCAAAGTGCTGGGATTATAGGCATGAGCTGCCATGCCTGGCTAGGTTTCCTTCCTTTAAAGCCTTCCCTATTCCACCTCAGGCAGAATAATTGCTGCCTTCTTTCTCTTTTCCCTGCATCATGCTGTATGCACTGCTGCTATAGCCTTATTATACTGTTTTGGTGTTATTTATTACATGTCTCTGTCTTCATGGCTGGACTGTGAGCTCCTCAAGAGTTAGGACCGTAATGCTTTTTGTCCCTGTAGCACAAGACCCAGCACAGAGTTGGAACTTATCAAATGACTGTCAAACAAATGAGCGAGATGATCTCAATTTAGTTCAGGACCAGAAACCACCTCACATGCATAGCTGTCTGCCCCAAGTTCCTACTCTCAATGAAAATGACCTAACAGTCAGGAGCCCTGACCATGGATTGAAAAATCCAGGTACAATGTCTGACATGAGGCGCAGGACTGAGCTTAGGAAGTCTTTTTTACATCGTTGCAACTTCTCAGTTTTGTTCCATACTCTCCCATCATCTTTCTTTCTCTGCTCAAGCCATCTTTGAGGTAGGGTGAGACGTCACACAGGCCGGTGAGGTTGTGTGCTCCGTCTCTTTCCACCTGGTGCTTTATGCTTTGGTGGTGTCAAGCTGCTTATAGCTCATACTAATACATGAATTTATAATATATACTAATTTACAGGTTTCAACATGGGGATTCTGAGGAACCTTGGGAATCCCCAAGACCCTTTTAAGGGATGAGCAAAGTCTTACTTTTTCTAATGACATATTTGTGTAAGACTGAATTTTTCTTTATGTTTAAACCAATAGAATGAATACAGAAGTAAATAGGAGAATCTAGCTGTCTTTTTTTCAGCCAGACGTTAAAAATATTTGCAAAAGGGTAAAGCAATGACATTCCTGTCACTAATTTTGTTTTTGAAAATGGTCCTTTTTCTTTTTCTTTTTTTGAGATAGAGTTTCACTCCCGTCGCCCAGGCTGAAATGCAGTGGTGCAATCTTGGCTCACTGCAACCTCTGCCCCTGGGGCTCAAGAGATTCTCCTGCCTCAGCCTCCCGAGTTGCTGAGACTATAGGTGCATGCGAATGCACCTGGCTAATTTTTTGCATTTTTAGTAGAGACAAGGTTTTGCCATGTTGCCCAGGCTGGTCTTGAACTCTTGAGCTCAAGTGATCTGCCTGCCTTGGCCTCCCAAAGTGCTGGGATTACAGGTGTAAGCCATCGTGCCCAGACTGTTTTTCTTAAAACATGTAATTTAGGTTAGCATGAAATGTTTTACTATCATTTTAAAATTAATAATTCTTTCTCAATTTCTGTCTTAATTTCTTTCTTCTTTCTTTTTCTTTCTTTCTTTTTTTTCTTTTTTTTTTTTTTGTGAGAGGGAGTCTTGCCTTGTCACTCAGGCTGGAGTGCAGTGTCACGATCTTGGCTCACTGCAACCTCCACCTCTTGGGCTCAAGTGATTCTCGTGGCCCAGCCTCCGGAGTAGCTGAGATTACAGCTGTGCACCACCACGCCTGGCTAATTTTTGTATTTTTAGTAGAGACAGGGTTTTGCCATGTTGGCCGGGCTGGTCTCTAACTCCTGACCTCAGGTAATCTTCCTGCATTGGCCTTCCAAAGTGCTGGGACTTACAGGTGTGAGGCACTGCGCCTGGCCAACTGTTTTAATTTCTAATATGGTAAATATAAACATTTCTTATATATTTTCAATAATTGAAAAAGTATAAAGGAATCCTGAAATAAAAAAATTGGAGGACCATTTTATTAGACTGTGTCATGCCTTTAGTTTTTTTTTGTTGTTGTTGTTTTGTTTTTGTTTTTTTTTTGAGATGGATTCTTGCTCTGTTGCCCAGGCTGGAGTGCAATGAGGTGATCTCAGCTCACTGCAACCTCCGTCTTCTTGGTTCAAGCGATTCTCCTGCCTCAGCCTCCTAAGTAGCTGGGATTACAGGCATGTGCAACCACACCCAGCTAATATTTTTGTATTTTTAGTAGAGATGAGTTTTCGCCCTGTTGACCAGGCTGGTCTTGAATTCCTGACCTCAGGTGATCCACCCACCTCGGCCTCCCAAAGTGCTGGGATTACAGGTGTGAGCCACCATGCCCGGCCTTGCCTTTAGATCTTTGCCTGTACCCCAACTAGAATACTATTTCTGCTTCCATATTTTCCTGGCAAATGCTTATATAAGCATTCCCCTGGCTCTTTTCTTCTCTGGAGTCACTCATTCCTTCTTGTATTTTCCTATATCTTGAAAACATTTATTTTTCATGTTTTTGTATTGTTTAGTCATGTGTCTTTCTTACAAAACCATGAGCCTTCTCAAAGCAAGAACCCTATCTAAATAATCTCATTATTTCTAGTGCTAGTCCAGTGTTCCGTATAGAGGACATAACCTATGAATATTGTACATTGAATGGACCAAAATCAAAGGCCTGAATTTTAGCTCCAGATCTGCCACTAACTAGCTGTGTGACTTTTGGCAAGTTACTTGACCCCTATGAAACTCAGTGTCCTCCTGGGCAAAATAAGAGTATTAGACCAGATTGTCTCTAAGGTCCCTTCCCACACTGATATTTTTATTTGGACTGAGTGTGTACATGGCATGCTAGTTTGGATAAATATCGGTGTGAATCCCATACAAAAATATTTGGCATTTACCATATTCAGTAATATAAACTATGTTGGGGTCTTCCTTCATTCCTTCCAACAAATTAAAAAATGGGAATTCTTGCCACTTTTGGTTCTGGATCTTCCTTGGATATGTAGCACCCTGACCATCAGGTGATGACCCATATATTTATTGTGACCTGTTTGACTTCTAGGTCTGAGCACCATCGCCCTCATCTGCCTCTTCCCAGCTCACTTTTCAGTAGTGAGAAAAACCCCTTCTCTTACTGTGATGATGTGGAAGGAAAAATGAGATGGGAACACATAGAAGCCCATGAGTTTTGTTCAAAAAAAATTTCATTCCCTTACCTTCCAAGAGCTGTCAGAGGCCTGAATCAGAGTGGACAGTAGGTCTTGGAGAATCACCATTTTCTGTTTTAGGACCAGCTCCCTTTGTAGGGCCTCCTGGGGATGTGGGAACAAAGTGCAAGAGGGTAAGATTAACCTGGAGGATCAGGGGGTAGGTGGATGGAGGAACTGAGGGGAGAGGTCACATGCCACTTACTTTGAGGTAATCGGAAAGCTGGATGATTTCCTGGAGAGAAAGAACAAGGGTATTCAAAATGTCTCTAAGTCCCCTGAAACCCTGTGACATAGAACCTACCCCTGGGTTGGCTTGTGTAGAGCAAACCTCTTCTACTTTGGCTCTGACAGGGTCCATTTAGTCCCCATGTCTATGCTCAGTACCCCCTTGCCATCTAGGAAGAAGATGCCCCTCCATCCCAGCCAAGTTTATCATGGAATTCCAGAATGTCAGAGCTTAATACTTTCTGATTCGACCCCTTCAAGGTGAATATGTGCTTACCTTATCCAGAACTGCAACTCCGTAACTGGAAAGAGAAGAAATTAAAAATAATGATAATGGACCAAAGAATCAAGTCAGGAGGCAGTGGGTTGATTCCTTCTGAAATCCCTTCTGAAGAGCCAGTAAGGTGGGGAAGGGCTTCCTCGTTCTTAATTAAGGTGGACATGAAAATTCATTGTGTTATCTCTAGAGAGGAATGAATGGGATGTGAGAGGGTTAGGGTCAGGAACTCACTTGGTTTGCTGACTGGCATCGTTCCTAATTGTTGGTCCTTCTGCCTTTGTCTGAGTACCTGAGAGATAGAGGATAAGTTGATTTAGAACTTATGGGGAGGAAGTGAGGGAAGTGGGGAGGGGCAGGGACTCTCCATTGCCAGTGAACTGGGACAGCTGTCTCAGGATTCTCTGCAGGCTCTGTGGAGTGAGGGAGGCTCTGCTCTTACCACGGTGGTGTTTGGGTGGCTTCTTGATGGGAGGGTCCTGTGGAGGAAGGCCCCCAGCCTGTGAGGAGAGGTGGTCAGTCAGATCCCTGCAGATGCCTGAGGGAGGAGGATGCTGGGCTGGAAAGACCTCAGAGCTGGTGCCTGCCACCTGGAAGGCAAGTGGGGAATGCTGAAAACCACTGCCTGGAGCCTCTTGAAAGATCCTCTTGATGATTTCAGAAGGAAGAACCAACCATCATGTCTGTTATGGACTGAATGTTTATTGTCCCCCCACCCAAATTTGTGTGTTGAAATCCTAACTCCCAATGTGATAGTATTGGGAAGCGGAGTCTTTGAGAAATAATTAGGTCAGAGCAGGGAGCCCTCATGAGTGGGATTCATGCTGTTATAAGAAGAGACATGAGAGCTTGCTTTCTGTCTCTGCTCTCTGCCTTGTGAGGACACAATGAGAAGAAGACCATCTGCACAGTGGGAAGAGTACTCTCATCAGACACCAAATCTGCAGGATCCGTGGTCTTAGACCTCCAGACTCCAGAATTGTAATAAATAAATTTCTGTTATTTAAGCCACCCAGTCTGTGGTAATTCATTACAGGACAAGGACAATGTTTCAGGTCCACAAAACCAAAGTAGCCCACTCAAGCTTTCAGAGCCACACGGGCTTCTCCTGCTCCTGACATCCTTGTCCTGACTGGCAGGAATGGTCCTCCTCAGGCCAGGCATATGTGGAGCTGTACTTTTCTCCAGTTTTTCTCTCTAGAATCTCTAGTTGTTTTTCTTTTTTGTTTTCTTTTTTTCCCCCCCTCTCTCTCTACCTTGTTTGGTTTTGGCCACTTAGATAGCCAGCATGGTAATATGGAAAGAGAACTGGTCTCAGTGGCCACTAAGGGGATCTGGGTTCAGATCCCATCTTTTCTAGGTCTCAGTCTTCTGTCTGTGTAGTGAGGAGTTTGGAATAGATAATCCATAAGATTCCTTCCATATTCGAAGGAAAACTTCCTTTCTCTTAGTAACAGCTAGAAAATCATTGAGGTTTTGTGTGAAGACTAGGTAAAGTGGGGAGTTGTGGGGAGGTTTTTTGCTTTAGTAAACAGTTTGTTTTCTTTTGCAACTGGGCTCTGGGATCATTGCTCTGAACAGTATCTCCTATTGAGCCTAACAGATCCACTAGTTAAGAAGCCCTAATGGAGTACCCACTCTGGGTAGGACACAATGCCAAGCATTTCCACGGAACATAGTGGACACATCCCTGCTGTCAACATGCTCACAACCTCAGTAGGAAGACACAGATGGTTTGCTGGCCAACGTCATCTCAGCATACCCTGGTTTTTGCCAACACTGTTCCTTTCCAGGCCAGACTAATGGGCCCTCTAAGGGTTACACAATCTTGGAAGATTTTAACCTCACAAGGCCCATAGACAGCAGAGGTGGCCTGGAGAAGCCAGGGAAGGCTTCCTGGACCAGATGAGGCTGTAGCCAAGTGATTTAATAGAATTGGAATGACACCAGAGAAAGAAAGAAGAGTGGGCACAACAGCCTTGCAGAAGAAGAGAGGACAGATATGTCTGTGTGTGTGTCAAGAGGATTGGCCTGCGTACTTGGCATATAATAAACTTTCAGTAAATATTTGGTGACTGATGGATGAATGAATGCTATAAGATAGCTGTAGAAGATATGTGTATATTGCCTAAGTTTGAACTGATATAGGTGTTAGCTTTGGGATTATTTTTATTTGTTTTATTTTAAGTTTTTTAGAGATAGACTCTCCCTTTGTTGCCCAGGCTGGAGTGCAATGGTGTGATCATAGCTTATTGCCGCTTTAAAGTCCTGTGTTCAAGTAATACTCCCATCTTTGCCTCCTGATTAGTTAGGACTACAGGTGTGCACCACCATGCCTGGCTAGTTTGTAAAGTTTTTGATAGAGACAGGGACTTGTCTCTATCAAAAAACTGGTCTCGAACTCCTGGCCTCAAGTGATCCTCCTGTCTTGGCCTTCGAAAGTGCTGGGATTACAGGTATGAGCTAACATGCCCAGCCTGGAATTGTTTTTAAAAATTATTTTTTTCTCTCTTACAAGTCAAGTGCAGAACAAAAAGAGCTAAACAAACAAAAACACAACAGCAAAAATCTCTGAATAAGTAGCTGTTGGCAACTTTACTATAAGAAACTCTTAGCAACTTTACTATATGACTGAGGAAGAAGGACTTAATTTAGATCACTTTTAGCGACCTTGAGCCCACCCACCCTCCTTGTCCAGAGAGGGTCCCGGAGCACAGAGCAGTATGTCCCTTGACATGGCCCACCTGCTCTCTGGGAGAAGAGATCCTGCTGGCACAAGACAAAGGTTCCTTGAGGACAGTCACCTGGCCTGGCCGCCTGGAGGGCCCTTGCTCCCTGGCCTGGGGACGGTGCGCCTTGCCCTTCTCCTCTAGCTCCAGATTCCTCCTCCTGAAGAACTGCTGCAGTCGAGCTCTCTGGAGCTGCTCTCTCTGCTGGATCCTCAGTGTCTTCCCCACCTGGCGGCAAGTGGTCACATTGGGACGGCAGCGGCGGCTTTCACGGGTCTCTTGCCTGCGCTCACACTTGGCCTCATAGCTCTCAGCCCACCGGGCCAAGCCAGGGGAGGGCCTGGGGTCTGGGCTGATCATGATGACCTCCAAGCACCTGTTGCGCTTGGCTTCCCGTTCCTGGAATAGATGCCTGGATCTGCCAAATGCCAAGAGGGAGGAGAAGGGGAGGGGTCAGAAGATGGGCAGAAAAATGACTGTCTCCCTAGACCAGGGGGCAGAAATAGCACAGAGTTCCATCCATGTGGGTTGAAAACTGAGGACATGGTGGTATCAAACTGGGAGTCAGGACTCTTGGCCTCAGTCTCTAATGAATTAATACAACCTTATAACAGCGATTTCCTGCTCTTCTCTAGCTGATGTTTCCCCTTTGTAAAGTAAAACGGTCTCTATGGCTGCCACTTACTCCTTGACTGAACATCTTACCATGCCTCTAAGTCAGGGGAACATGATAAATAATTGATTAAAATAATAATGAGCTTATAGCCTCTTGGATGGCAGGTGTGTGTTCATTTTCCAGACTTCTAGAGAAACAGCTAAGTTGAGCCCCTCTGCCCTCTTATCCCCCAGTTGAAAAAGAAAGTCAGTATCTTTACTGCTCTCTTGGTCCAAGCTGTTACTAACATAGTTGAGTGACACTTCTCGAGATCTGGAGGGCTAACCACACCCGGCTCAGGTGGTGACCAGTCCTGTGACCAGCACCCGCTGCTCTCTTCTTGACTTTTAGCAACTAGCTTATGAGTCTGGACCTGGCATGGTTTAGGAGGAAACCCTACCCTAATTCCTCCAACCTGCTGTGCTGACAATGGTCCATGGGCCCCCCACTCCAAGCTCAGGACTGGGCCGTGTCTCTCAGGTGCAGATCAAGTTCAATCAGTATTGACTGAGCATCTGCCACATGCCTAGTGCTGGCCTAAACCCATTTCAGAGCATCTGGCTCCAATACTCTTGGAGATGAGGGTTCCATTTCTTTAGGATCACCTTCTTGTCAGGGCTAATTCTGGTGCCAAGTCTGCTTTCCTTTGCCAAGACACAGATTGTGCCATCCAAACCCACAAGCACATGAATTATGCCTTAATAAGGCTGCTGCAAACAGAAAAGAAACAAAACAAAAATAGTAATCAGAAGTTTCCAGGGAGCCAGGCTTGGTGTAGGGGCCACAGGATGTCCCTCTGCATGGCCTTACCTGGTATTCACATAGCACTCAGACCCAAATCCCCTTTTCCTTCTCTGTGCCTTTCTCTTTCCTACTCTTCCCCACCTACCTTCTGCAGTTTATCCTACTAGAACCCTCTGGTCACTTTGCTGAGTTGGGCTGGACTTGGATTAGCTGGATCCTGAGCGTTGGAAATTCTGTGTCCTGCCTCCTCTGATCACTGGAGTCAGACCAGGGACTGATGAAGGAAGAGGGACCCCCCTCACAGCTGCTGCTGCTTCTCTTCCTCCCACGACCTCATTACCCACCACCCTGGGAGGAGGGTATCTCAGCTTCACCAACCAGCAGGCGTTTGCTAGCTGTAACCCCTCGGGGTTTATTTATAGGCCAAACAGACTCAACAGGTAGCAGAGTCTCTGCCCCTTTACTGGGACTTCGCTATCCTGGCTCAGTCTGGAATTCTCTGCAGGATTCTTGTTTTCTCTCTGATCCTACTACTCATTCCCCAGGGTCATGGGTGGGGCAGTCTTCTTCCCTGAGAGGAGTTTTGGGTGGTCAAGCCCTGAACACTCAAATGCCTGACTCTTGAGGGTTGGAGGAGCATACTCTGGTGTCAGGCAGCGTTGATTCCAAACAGAAATGTGAGGTTGTTAATGTTTGTCCTCTACATACCCATTCTGAATGGCTCTCTTCTTTCTTTAGGTGTTTCTACTTACTCCTTCTTGGATAAGGGTGGGAGTGGGCATAGGGGATGGTCCCTTGACTTTCTCCCTGCAACTTTCTTTATTTAGAGACTTAAAAAAAAGGGTCTGACAGACCCATGTCTATTGTTATAAATGACTGAATGGAGGAGACCCAGGATTATGTGCATGTGAACTCCATCTCTGGAACCTATACTCACAGCATCCCTGAGTCACGGCCCCTGGCTATTCTGCCATGGATTGCAGTGGAGAACCCTGGCTCTTGGAGTCACACTGTGTGGACTCATATCCTGGCTCTGTCACCTACTACCTGTGTGTGGTTTTAGGTAAGCTATTAAACATCTCTAAGCCCCAGTCTCCTCATTTATAAAATGGGGCTAGATTGGCCGGGCGCGGTGGCTCACGCCTGCAATCCCAGCACTCTGGGAGGCCGAGGCGGGCGGATCATGAGGTCAGGAGATCGAGACCATCCTGGCTAACACAGTGAAACCCGGTCTATACTAAAAAATACAAAAAATTAGCCAGGCGTAGTGGCGGCCTCCTGTAGTCCCAGCTACTCGGGAGGCTGAGGCAGGAGAATGGCGTGAACCCGGGAGGCGGAGCGTGCAGTGAGCCGAGATCGTGGCACTGCACTGCAGCACTCCGGCCTGGGCGACAAGCAAGACTCCGTCTCAAAAACAAAATAAAATAAAATAAAATAAAATAAAATAAAATAAATAAAATCAAATAGGGCTAGAACCTGCCTTGTAGGTTATAAGGATTAAATGACATTTTTGCAAGTAAAAGTAATGGCAAAAACCAAATATTATCCTTGTTATGCTGATGTTGGATATTGAAGACTTGGTGCTGTAAGACAAAGGCTCCAAGCTAAACAAGCACTCCTAAGACCAAGAATGCCTTCTCTCATCCTCTCAACCCTCTCTCTTTGACAGAGTATATTGTTTATCAGATTGAGGGGATGCTGGACCCAGGTTGGAGTCACATTTACTTCTCTGTTTCTTCTGACCCTGGGTTTGGGCTATAAGGAGAAAGGGCTTCTCTGTGATCTGGACATAATTACCATCCCAATTACACCAAGCAGAAAGGTAAGGAAGAGATGGGGTCTGCCTGTGTCACACATAAGTTGTGAGGTCCCCTCCCTGTTTGGCTCCAGCTTCCCAGCAGGTTTTGTAGTGGAGGCAGAACTTTGAGAATCCTCCTACCTTCTTGCCATGAAGAGGAAAGGGCTATGGGGGAGAACACAGGGCCTGAGATGAGGTCTCTCTGGGCTTTCCACCTAGGCCACCCACCTTCATCCACTGAAACACACAGCTGCTCTACTCACTGCTTCCTCGGGGCAGACATTGAGTCTTCTTACCCAAGAAAGGAGCTGCAGTGGAAATGGCTTCTTAGAGATGGGAGTGTTCCCAGATGCCTTGGCTACCACAACTGCTAGGATGTGGTGCAGCATGCTGCATAGAACCCTACCCCGGTTTCTGGGATATCTGGACCCTACTGACTTGCTTAAAAACAAGAAGGTATGCAGGATGGCTGACAGGGATAGGCTGCTAAAGAAAAGGGAACTGGTCCCTGTAGAGTTCAAAGAAAGATCACTGGGTCACTGCCCAGGCTTTCTGGCATCTCTGACATTCCCCCCTGGCAGCATGACTGGGCTCACTTGGAGCTTGGAGGAAGGGTTACTGGCTTGGAAGGCTCAGTCTGGTCTCTCAGGCTGCAGGGAGAGAACAGGGCACGGCTCCTCACCTGACTGTGGCTTGACATGCCTTTCCGAGTCTCGCTTTTACTTCCTGGCCATGTGTGCAACAGACGCAATGAATGGCTTCCTGCATGGGTTGGCCTTCCTGGCCCAGAGCTCTCAGTGGGAACTGAGGGGAGAGGGGCCTACGCTTAAGCTGCTGGGAAGGCAGTCTTGTGTTCAGAGATCCCCGCTTTGAAGAAAACTATAAAAGGTCATTTAATTCATGCCCATATCACTGGGTAGCCTGAACTAAGTCATTTGACTTACTCCTAATCTAATGTAATCTAATCTAATCTACTGGAACAGAGGAGTGGTGCAAGCTGTACCCTGTGCCAAGGCTAGCGCCACAGGAAACCAACACAGGATACTTTCTTGGTTACCCAAACTCCCAACACCCTTAAACTATGCCACCTGCTCTTTCTTCACCCAGGAGAGCTGGGATGGTAGAGCATCTTCTGCCCCACCCCAAAGTTGGAGTTCCCAAACCAGGACACAAAAGCATCCTCCTTCTCAGTTACCTCCGAGTCCCAGGCTCCAACTCAAGCCACTCAGGAAAGCATTCCAGCTCCTGGGCAGATCTTGGCTCTGGTCTCAGATGGAGCAAGACAGCAGATGGGTAAAGCACACGCTTTCAATCCATAGGTCTGGGCCCCATTAACACGTCCCTTCTTGGTACTGTCTTTCTTTTTGCACAGCAGCCTTGCTGAAACAGGAAACAGACAAAGCCACAAGGTTTGCAAACCCCGGTTCCTCTCTCTTGCTCTCTGGCATCATCTGAGTGGGCCTCTGAACTCTGAGGCCTCCAGGGCTGGGCTCAGGAGCTCCTCCCATCAGTAGGCACCCTGGCCACCCTTTCTCTTGCTACTGGATTGGTCGAAGCTCTTGGACAGTTTCAAGTCAAGATTCCTTTCCACGATTAGACAAGGATAGTCCTCTGGGTCAGATTCAGACCTTTGTGGTTTCTATGAAGGGAAAAAAATTCCTTTTTGATGGCAAGACCTAGATGAGATGTTCTCAGTGTAGGCTTTCATGTGTATCAGGTAGTTCTTTGTGCAAAGATTTTCCTTTTTCTTTAGCCACCTCTTCCCAATCCTGGTGTTGTAAAGAGTTTCTGCTTTTCTGAAGTAGCTGGTGACTTTCTCAGATTCTGGAATGAGGCCAATTCTGCATTTGCTCCTTTCTAGAGCAATGAGGAGGGGGTATAAAGGTGGGTAGCTGGGGGATGAAGGAAGGAATAGAAGGCAGAATCTTCTACACATTTTTTATCCAGTCAACCAGACTAGGAAATTTAGGGAAAAACTAGAGGGAACTAATTTGTGTGCATTAAGATGAAGCCATCACAAATGATGCAGTCAGGAAATTCCCAAGAAGTTCAAGCTAAAATAGTGGAGGGGAAACTGGATTGGGACAAGTTAACCCAGCAGCTTTGTAACCTTGTAAAATTCACGTTGTCTGGATGCTACTCACTGTGGTGGTTGGATGATGTGCGTGGCTCTTTGGAATTCTAAGTTTTGACACACGTGAGGCAGGTAATGAGACTTAAACATAGCTGTGATCACATTTATTAACATGTGGAGAGTTTGTCACCATTTTCTCTGCTACTGCTTCTTTCTCTGTTCTTTGAGGAGAAAAAGGATGAGGAATCAGCAGGGAAAAGCAGAGGATGGATTCTCAAGCAGTAGGGCTGAAATAAGTGGCATTTACTCAGGATGAGAGACAACAGCTCAAGGCCCTGTGCCTGGAGCTTGACACGTACAGATGGGAATGAGTAGAGGACAGAGGGTTTGGGGAGTCCAAGATGTCAGAATAAGAGAATTTTGGCTGGGCACAGTGGCTCACGCCTGTAATCCCAGCACTTTGGGAGGCCCAGGTGGGTGGATCACTTGAGGTCAGGAGTTCAAGACTAGCCTGGCCAACATGGTGAAACCCCATCGCTACCAAAAATACAAAAAATTAGCCAGGTGTGGTGGCATGTGCCTGTAAACCCAGCTACTCGGGAGGCTGACGCACGAGAATCACTTGAACCCAGGAGGCAGAGGTTGCAATGAGCCAAGAACGTGCCACTACACTCCAGCCTGGGCGACAGAGTGAGACAGAGTTTCACTCTTGTGGCCTACGCTGTAGTGCAACTGCATGAACTCGGCTCACTGCAACCTCCGCCTCCCAGGTTCAAGCAATTCTCCTGCCTCAGCCTCCCGAGTAGCTGGGATTACAGGCACATGCCACCATGCCTGGATAATTTTTTGTATTTAGTAGAGATGGGGTTTCACCATGTTAGTCAGGCTGGTCTCGAACTCCTGACCTGAAGTGATCAACCTGCCTTGGCCTCCCAAAGTGCTGGGATTACAGGCATGAGCCACCGCGACTGGCCAGAGAATTTTTATTGGCATAGAAGAGTGAGAAGACTCTGGGAGTTCAGGGGATTAGAGTGTAAAGGAAGACAGGAGATTTTAATAGGAATTCCTATAGAGACCTACTATTTGGACTCCATTAAACACCAGAAAGAAATGTGTACAAAGCTCTGCAGTCATTGGGATACTACCCCCATGATAACTGGGATTTAGAGCAGTCAATGATATGCTATGGAAAGTGTTGGACCCAGGTTTACTTGACAGCAGACTTGAGCTCTTAACATTGTGTTCTGAGAACAAAACAATTAATAAGGTTGTCATACCTATCTATCTATATCGACACACACACACACACACACACACACACACAGAACTTTGAGAATAGAAAATATACCTTATTTTCAAATGCCAATGAAATATTTAAAAAATTGACCATATTGATCAAAAAGCAAGCCTCAGTACATCTTTTGAAAAGTTGATCTATTATAGCAGAATTTTCTGACCATAGTACAATACAATTGAAATAAATAACAAAAGATGGAAGAAAGAAATATTTTAACTTCTTGGGAAAAAATTCTTCCCATTTACTTTGAAATATAGAGGGAATTTCAAATCTGCAATTAAGAATGGATTGAAAAACGGTGTAGTGGCAACATTATGAGCAAAATCTGTGAGGTATGGCCAAGCAGAACTCAAGGAAAATCCCTAGCTTTAAACATTTTCATTACTTAAGTGAAGAAGATTAAAAATAAATTTCCTATTCATTTATTTTCAAACGGATTGCTAAAAAATGATCAGAAAAAAAGGAGATGAGAATTTTGAAATGATAGAAGGAGAATATGTAATAAGTTAGAATCCTGTTTAAAATTGATTAAAAAAATCAGTTTTTGTGTGTGCATCTGGCAAGGGGAGGAAGGGTAGACATACAAATAGAAAACAAATCAATAAAATAAACTATCAATGAGCCAAATCAATTTAAAAAAGAGAAAAGGCATTATAAAAGTTTAGGAATGATACATGGAAAGTAGCCACAATACAGTGGAAATTAAAATAACTGTAGAGAGTCATTTGTGTCACTATGCGAATGATTTTTAAAATATAGATAAAATGGACTTAAGAAAACGAATTTACCAAATTAGGCTCAAGTAGAGATTTGTAGTGTGATCATTAGCTGGCCTCCAATGGAGGTTTTAATTCAGGCTGCTCTTGAGTTGGGCAGCTAGCTTTTAGTGGCCAGTATCCTGTGCTTCTCCTCATCATTTCCAGGTTCAATGGGAACAACAGCTCCCTTTTTTGATGGTCATATTCTGAAACAGTTTCCTTGATAGATGCTGGGCCCTGGGTAGGCCCCCATGAGGCGATGAGTATGGGGTAAGCTACCCTTTCCTTTACAGCCTGGTTGCTTCACAAGACCACACAGGCATGTGTAAGATTATCAGATTTTATTATACAGTTGGGGTAATAACCAAACTACATGCTAATATGACTTCTCCCATACTCCAAGAGACAGCACTAAGGAGTTTAAAAATTTTTTTTTTCTTGAGATGGAGTCTCACTCTGTTGCCCAAGCTGGAGTGCAGTGGCGTAATCTCAGCTCACTGCAACCTCTGCCTCCCCGGTGTCTCAGCCTCCTGAATAGCTGGGATTATAGGCATGTGCCACCATGTCTGGCTAATTTTTTGTATTTTTAGTAGAGACCGGGTTTTGCAATGTTGGCCTGATTGGTCTCGAACTTCTGACCTTAAGTGATCCACCTGCCTTGGCCTCCCAAAGTACTGGGATTACAGGTGTGAGCCACCACGAAGTTAAACACTTTATGGGGGTCCCCTCATGGGTGTTACTAGTTCTAATCCCACTCCTCTTTCCACTCGACTGGGTGACTCCTCATATCTTCTGGGAAACGTTAACCTCACTCATAAGAGTTGTTCTTGCCTTAGAATCCTTTCTTACACTCCTGACAATGTTTCTTCAGCACCACATTCCTCAAGTCTGTTATTCATTCTAGAATAATGCCACAGACACTCTTACTAGGATAGTCCACAGTGGCCTTGGCACTCCAAGTTTTGCAGAGCAGCTCAGGGTAGGCATACTTGAGTCTGTTCCCATTCAGTTCAAGTTCTCCTTATCAGGTGACTTGCAGACTCTCCTCCTTAGTCTCCCAAGTGTCTCGCTGGTAAATGTTTACTCATGTCCACACAAACATTCCACGGACAAATATTCATTCTCAGAGATGATACAGTCTAAACTCACCAGGAGGAAGATAAGTATTTCCTTGACTCCTACGTTTGCAAGGTTGCTACTCTGTTGTGGAGTTCTGACTGTACGTTTGTGGCAGGACAGAGTTCTAAATCCTCCTCTTACCTTTGCTTGCCTTGTATCGTCATTGTTGGTGGAGAGCCTTTTCACGTAATGAAACCTCAAATTTATGCTGTAAGAAACGTTCAATATTAGCAAGAGATTTATCTGTTGTTTAGATTCTAAGAATCTGAAAAGCGTAACCATAAGGTACAAATAACTGTTGATCCATTCTTGTGGGTCCAGCATTGAGCAACGGACGAGTTACTTTTTGTCGTGGGCTCATAAGAAAGGTGGTCTCACTGGCTGTGACACTGAAGAGCCTTGACAGGCTGCAGCCTTAGGCTTGGGGGTGAAGGTGGGGTAGGTATAGAGGTAGGAGTGTATGTATATTAGGAAACAGGAAAGGAGAGAGTAATGTAGAACAGAAAAAGGGGGGCCTCCCAGGCACCCATCTCTATTTGGATCGAAAGGACAAACCACAAGTTAATCTTCAGAGAGCTTTCATTCCTCTCCTTTATCCTTCATTTCAGGTTCTGTCCCCTTGAGTCCTGCCAGAACATGAAATAGGCTGTTCCTGAGTTCAATATCATAATGACTTGTCTTCTGCTCATACAATGCCCTTTTCTAAATGAAAAAGTACTGCTTTTTAGAGCTCAGCCGAAGCAAAAACCTCCTCTCCCCAGTGTACGTGTGAGTTTTCCAATAAATAGGACCTCTAGTTCGTGACTAAAAAATCACATTGTTTTTTGAGATGAAGTCTTGCTCTGTTGCCCAGGCTAGAGTGCAGAGGCACGATTTTGGCTCACTGCAACCTCCGCCTCCCAGGTTCAAGTGATTCTCCCACCTCAGCCTCCTGAGTAGCTGGGATTACAGGCACACGCCACCATGCTGGTTAATTTTTGTATTTTTTAAAGTAGAGATGGGGTTTTGCCATGTTAGCCAGGCTGGTCTCAAACTCCTGACCTCAAGTGATCCACTTGCCTCAGCTTCCCAAAGTGCTGGGATTACAAGTGTGAGCCACCGTGACTGGCCCATATTCTTTATTTAAAAGA